ACCTCATCCAGGACTCCCCCCTTCATCAGCGAAGGAGATCACAACTGTTCTCATTTTCTGGCCAAGGGGGTCTTTGGGGAGAGGGTCTTGTTTTTGCCTCCTGGTTCTTATTCTAACTGTGGGCGGGAGCATGCAATATTCATCATCCCCAAGAAACAGAGCGACCGAGCCCAGGACTATAGGACTGTTATCATTCCACTTCACAGATGAAGACACCGAGGCACAGAGAGGTTCCCTCACCCAAAGTCACATGTGGAGCCAGGATCTGAGCACCAGCCCAGGTTGCCTGATGCAAGGGCCCATGCTCCTTCCTGGCCCTGACCCTTCCTCACTGCCCCCCACCCTGGGGACCCAGGGGATCTGGGAACCCTACAGCCTGGAATATCTGGTGCCTCTTTTTTAAACACTTATACAATTCAGTCATGGCAGCAATGACCATAAAATAATTCTTAGACCTTAAACATCAACATGTGGTTGCCATTCACACATCCCCTACTGGGGACCCGGCCTGCAACCCAGGCACACACCCTGCCTGGGAATCGAACCTGGGACCCTCTGCTTCCCAGATCAGCACTCAGTCCACTGAGGCACACCAGCCAGGGCGCTCTCCTCCTTCTGACACTGTGCTTCTCTCCTGCTGAGGGTCTTCGCCAGGCCCCCTCTCTGCTTCCTGGTTGCTCACGCACAGGACAAAACAGTCACCACCCTTTGATGAAACTGACTGCGTCCCTCATGGCAAGACAGAAAACGTGATCAAGACGGGCCCCTTGTCACCCTACCAGGCCTCTGGCTGTATCCTCAAGACTTGAAAAGGACAAAAACCACCCGAGCACCCCACTGCACCCCAACAGACATGCTTCGGGCAGGTCTGTCGGGAAGTGTGGGAGCTGAGTCTTGTTTTCTCCTCAGATGAGCAGGGTGGAGGGTGGTCAGGGAGCTGCTGGCGCCCCGAGTGCTGTGTCCCGAGGTGAGTCCGTGAGTTGGGATGCGGACACAGACTCCCACCCGACCCTGACATTGAAGTGCTGCAGGGCTCCGGAGCCCAAGAGGCGGGAAGGAGAGGGCTGGTGGGCTTGTCTACCTGCCCGCCTGACCCCTCCTGCAGGAGATGGCCCCCGGTGAGTTGCTCCTTCTCCCTCCCCACGTAGCCAGAGAGGAGTGTCACTTGACCTCAGGGCACATTCCAGAATGAGGCCACGGCCAAAAATAGGGCCCAGGAGCCCTGTCACCTACCCTGCTTATGTTAATCACACATTCCTCCAGCAGGAGGACGGCTTCAGGCTCCTTCGGGAGGTGGGAGGAGACGGAGGAGATGCAATCAGGAAATGGGCCTGGGAAACGGGGCGACCCCAGAGAAGCCCCATCCCAGCCTTGTGGCCGGGCAGCAGGCCCTGGGTCCGGGGCCCTTCAGCGAAGCTGCCACGAGCTCTGGGAGCTGGGCCCACACACCTCTTGGAGCCCCTAAGCAGCGGTGCTGGCTTGAGGTCCGCGCAGACATGGAGGGAGACCGAGACTGGTAGGAGAATGTCTGCAGAGCCTGGGCACCGGGGGCAGCTTCCCCAAGGAGCTGAGTCTTGAAGGATGAGTAAGCATAAGGCTGATGTCTCACCCAGGAATCCAGGCCATGACTGCTTATGTGTGTGACAGAAACACCATGTCATGTGGCAAGGTCACCAGGCAGCCCTGGGGCGCTGTGTGTGTGGCTGACGGGAGGCAGGCACGTTGGAGATCTTCGGGGTCCTGATGGGATTCCACGCTGCCCAGCCCGGTGTGTGTGCATGAGAGAGAGAAACACACACACACACACTGAGAAGAGTGTAACAGGAGCATTAAGAAGTCTGAAGTCAGACTGCCAAGGTTCGAATCTTGGCTCTGCCATTTAGCAGCTGGGCAATCTTGGGCAAGTGTCTTATCCCCTAGTCTCAGTTTTCCCACCTACAAAATAGCATCCTGTCTCATCCACTTGTGCTGCCGATGACAAGACATGATGTCCAGCGCCTGTCACATAGTCAGTGCCCCTCAGTGTTGATGTTGTAACAGGACAGTTGGACGCAGTGTTCTCCCAGCCTAAGGAAGTCACCATGTGGCTCTGTATTTATTCTGTCCCTTCCCTCATAGTTTCCGCCCCTGGTCTCCGCTCTCTGGCCCCACTGTCCAGGGGGTGACATCAGACTATGGAGCAGCTGGCCAGACAATGGAGCAAAGTGTCCTAGGAGGCCAGAGAGGCAGAGGGTGCAAAAAGCCGAGCTGTCCTGCCCAGGGGCTTTGGGGCTGGTCTGGAGACAGCGGTGCCAGACCAGGCCACTGAAGAGGCAAACAGAGGTGGACTGGAAGGGGTGGTGGCCAGGTGCGGGTGGGAGGGCATCAGGTGCAAGGAAGGGAGAAGCAGGTGTCCAGTGTAGACAGGAAAACAGGTGAGTCCAGCCTTGGACCTGAAGGAGGGCTCAGTCCCCACGTGTCCTGGGGTCCAGGCTGGGGCAAATCTCCCAGACGGGGGGCGAGGGCCTCCCCAGGGTGCCTGACAACCAGGCCCTGGGAATCCAGCTCATTGCTGGGAACCTTCCCGCCTGGTTTCAGAAGAGGTAGCCCCCCACATGGCTAAGGCTGAGTGAGCGACCTTCAGACCATAAGCCACTAAGGAGACAAAGCTTATCTCCTTGGCAGGGCGCTGCCTCTGCTCCTTGTACTTCACCCTGCCTAGTCCTTGATGCTTGATGGGTTAGCCAATGACAAGTAAGATTCCCCAAGGGGGGAATGACCTAAGACAGGCATGATCACGTGGAGGCCCCAGGGAAGGACTTGGGGGCCTATGGAGAAACAGGGTGATGGACCCTCACCCCTCATCTTTCACACAGCCTGAGTCCTCATTCTGTCTTGAGAAGTCTCCTAATCTCTTGGCTGCCTTACCTTCCCTGCCTGACTTAAGCCTGAAACAATGCTGGTGGTGGGCGCAGCCCTGTGCGAAAGGGCAGGTTTCCTGGGGCCATCAGGCCTAAGAAAGAATATGTGAAATCTGCTTTGTTTAGAATTCCCTCAATTAAATGATAAGGGTCCAAGAAAGAAGTGAGTTTGTTCCTCAAAGTTTTGTAGCCCTTTAGCTAACAGACCCTGACTCAAAATAGGCCCTCAGAGTTCTTTGTATGTTATCTATTGTTTGATCCTTACCTGTATTCCTATGCAAAATAAACCCAGTAAAAGCCCATTGAGGAAAAGGCTCTTGGTCCTTCTCCTTTGAGAGATCGGCCACCTTTCTTCCCCAAGCAGATCATGTCTTGGTAGACTTATTCTCATCCGTAGCAGCTGGTGGAGGGGCCCTGCGGGCAGAGCCCCCCACAGCTCAGTTTTATCAACCACCTGTTAGATGCCAGTCATCACATCAGGCCTCGCCAACACAGGACAGAGATTCAGGCTTAGTGTCAGGAACACAAAAATCAATGCCATGTAGGGCGTCCAAAGTACTGATAGATTCTAAAACACCCGTTCCCTGACAGCCCATATTTTCTGAACCCCAAATCAGCCCGTGGAGGATGATCCATCTGAGTGTGGTCTGTGAGCAACCCAATAAGAGAGACGAAGCTGTGTGGTCACTGAACCTGAGGAACCTGAGGCCCAGAAGGACAAGCGGACACTTTAGATCCTGGGCGTCTGCTCTCGGCCCGGGAGCTGCGGCGGAGGGTTCGGAGGCAGCCATCTGGGAGACTCTGTTTCCTGGGCTTTCCCATGTGACAAGGTTAAAGGGGTCGAGCTCTGCAAGTCTCTGTGAAGAGTTCTTACTACCCTCTGTTTTGTGCACGAGGAAAATGAGGCTCAGGGAGGCAGAGAATAAGTATTAGAGGGCAGATTCAGACAAGGGGGTTCTGACTCCACAGGCTGGGCTTTCTCGCTCTGCCCGGCTGGGGTTGGAGTATGGCGGGGACCCCAGGTGTGGGGCTGTTGGTGGATGGTGAACCGGTGAGGAGGAGCCCTGAGATCGGACTCCCCAGACCCTACATCTGCCTCAGGGAGCCACAGTCTCAGGCCCCACAGCCACGCAAGTGTGGAGAAGAGGGGAGGTGACAGGTGCTGGCACGTTGACATTTACCGCCTCAGACTCTAAGCTGTGTGCTATTTATCAGGGCGCCTCGACCTAGAAGCCCATGCAACGGAATGTCTCCGAGCCTCTGTGGGTGAGCGAGGAATTGAGTCCTCCCCTCCCTCGTCCTCAGTACCTAAGTTTATGCTCAGCGATTTCCCAAAGGCCATGAGAAGTTCCCATCCCCCCGGGCTCTCTTCCCTCTCAGGAAGCAACTTGCCTTCTCTACCCTGGCCCCTCTTTATTGCAGGGAATTATTCCAGGGAGGGCTGGGCCAGGCCGGACTAGGGCTGGAGGCCTCCTCAGGGCTGTGGCCCGGAACACCCAGGGATGTGGACCGGGGACAGGTGTCTCTTGTGCTTCGCTGGCTCCCAACCTCGGGGACAGACAAGCTGTGGCTACAGGCTCCTGAACACACCTCCAGGGCAAGGGTGTAGCCACAAGCAGCTGAGACCAAAGGTGCTGCTATCCCCATCCTGGAAACCGAGCCACACCCTACAAAACTTGGAGTCTAGGCAGGGCTTTGGGACCCGGCTTCACCCACAGGTTCCCTGGGGAATCACAGCTGGGCAGCCCGCCCCACTTCTGTTCCCTCCACCTGCCTCTAGTCCACCGTGCTGTCCTGATGGGGCAGGGGACTGCGGTACAAGGCCGGAGGCCCACACCTTCCTGCCTCTGTGTTCTTCAGAAAGTCGCCTGGCCCAAGTGCCTAACTCACAGAGCACCACGGCGAAGGGGCCTGGGAGCCGTGAAGTAGGCTGAGCTGTAGCAGTGTCTCTCTGTGACCCAAACGCGGTCCCCTCGGCCAGACTTCCCTCCTGCACGGCCACCAAAGCCAATGACACCACCCACTTCCCCCTCCACCCACACATACATATTAGCTCAAATGAATCACACACGAAGGCCTGTTGATACTATTAGCTTTTAATTGGTATCTTCCTCCCTACGTCTGAGGAAGAAATGAGGACACCCCACAATGACCTTCAGTTTGGGAGGGGCATGGGCAGAATGAAGGGCTGAGGAGGGACTAGGGGGCGGGGCTAGAGCTGCCGGTGGGTTTCCCGAATCCTCTGTCTAGGGGTGGGCGGCCGGAGCTGCACCGGAAGTCCAAGCAGAAAAATCGGCGACTGGCTGCCACATCCCCAGACCTGCTGTCCCCTGCCAGAGGCTGCCACCAGATGGGAGCACCGAGCAGCATTCCTTCCCTTCCCCAGCCTGCCGACCCTCCCGCCCTTCTCCTTCCATCCCCGGCCCTCTCCCTGCCTGCTTTTCCTTCTCCTTTCTTTCTCTTCCTACCAAAACAGATCCTGGGGCTTCTATCTGCTTCATTTTAAAGGAAGCCAGTGACAGATAGACGCATACGGACTGTCAAATGGGACCATCTGATGGCTGGGAGGGACACCCAGGGTCTGCCACGGGGGAGGGGGGCGGCTGGGGCTGGCCTGTGAGCTGGGCAGTGGCTGACAGCTCTCTGTGGCCCCAGCACTTGGCACCTGCTAAATGGCCAGAAGATGTCTGTTGAGTTGGACCAAACAGAACTGAATTAACAAATCAACAAGCCACAAGCCAATCGATAAAGCCAAGGGGACATGAGAAACATGTATCCTGCTGGTGGCCTCAGAGACCACAGGGCAACTTGATCAAAGTGCCACCTGACCACCCACCACCCGAGGGCACCTGACTACCTGCGTTCCGCTCAGCACCACCTGGGTGCCAGGCAGACCACGCCCCCTGCTTCCCCCTTCCCATGACTCCCCACATGAAGTGATCTCTGCTCAGAGCCATCTAGGGGGCTGCGGGGAATTTGTCCCCTGAGTCCCCAGACCCTCCTTTCTCTGCCCACCATGCCTTTTGCAAACCAGTTCATTGCATGGTTCCACCATGCAGCCCCTTCCCTCTAGATCGCTCAGTGCCTGGGAGGCTGGGAGAGCCAGGGGTAGCGGTGGCCGGCAAGGAGAGGATAATGGCGCCCAAGCGGGTTGGTCGTCAGGGATAATTTGCAAGTGTTTACTGACTTCTTTTGTCTCCCTCAGCTAAAAAAGAGATGAACCCCTTATTGAGCCCAAAGAATAGAAGTTGATCCAAGACCCTCTGATGGATATTCCTCTGCTGGCCTCAGACTGTCAAATGTGACCTTGCCCAGTTCTCGGAGAGGCGTCAGGGTGGGTAGGTGGGAGAGGGCCAGGGAGGGACCAGGGGAGGGGGGGCTTCAGTGTGAGCCCAGGAACTCCTTGAGGACCTCGCAGGTCTTCTTGTGCATGACCTCACGCAGCTTCCTGACCCGACGGGTGCTGGACGCCCCCACGAAGCTCTCGGGCCGAAGCATGGCCATGCCACCGTCTACCTCCCCCATGATGATGAGGGGCGTCTCGCCCACCGTCACGTTGGGGCAGGGGCAGGTCCAGTCCACGTGAAGCAGAGTGACCTCCAGCGGCTCCCGGCCCAGGAACTTGAGGCCCATCTTCTCGTCCTTCAGGACCTCGTCCACGGTTACCAGGGCGCGACCCGAGTCAGGCTCCTCGGTCAGCTCAGAGACTCGGCCCAAGATGACAAAGTCGCTCCGACAGAAGCTGGTGACGAGCTTCTGCCTCGGCTTGCAGGCCTGACAGCGCTGGCTCCCCCAGGGGAAGGGGCAGGACTCCTCGCAGGCCTCCCGGCTCTCAAAGTTGTTTCCATTGCCCTCGCAGCCGCCGTAGACAAAGGACTGGCACTGGCCCGCCTGGCTGTTGTAGGCCCAGCGTGGTGCGTAAGCCTTGCAGGGCCCCTGCAGGGCAGGCAGGCTGCACACGGCCAGCGGCCCGCTCATGCAGGCCAGCATGCAGGCCTCGTAGGTCTCAAAGTGGTTGCGGTTGCGGTGGCAATGGCCAAAGGTGAAGGTGAGGCAGTTGTTGGCTTGGGCGTCAAAGTGCCAGCGGGTCTGCTCCTCGCCACAGTCCTCACTGTCGGGGGGCTTCAGGCACTCGGCAGCGGGGAAAGCCGTGCCGTTGGGGCTGCTGTCCGCGGTGGCTGCAGCCTGCCCGCCCCTAACCACCGACAGTGGGAAGTCAGCGCGCAGGACGCCGGCAGCGTTCCGGGCTGTGCAGGTGTAGATGCCAGCGTCCTGCAGCTGGGCATTATAAATGACCAGCTGGGCGATGTTGGTGACCACCACATTGCCACGCACATGGTTGGGTTTCATGACCACGTTCTCTCGGTCCTCCAGCTGCTTCTCCCAGGTGATGTCGGGCCGGGGCCGGCCCACCACCTCACAGAGGAAGCTCACCGTCTCCCCCACGGAAACCGACTGGTGCACAGGGTGGGTGAGCAGAGCCGGGGCCGCCATGTCCAGCCCGGGGGTCTCCGGGGAAGCTGTGGTGGGATGCACGGTGGTCTCCGGCGGCGGGGGGCTGGTGTTGGGCCAGGTGAAGTGGTAGCGGCAGGTGACCACGACCAGCGTGATGCCCTTGGAGCAGGCCTCGGCGTCCATGTAGCAGCGGTTGTAGTAGGTGAGGCCGTCGGAGGCGCAGGTGAAGCTGGGCTCCTTCTCGCAGCGATCCTTGCACTTACACACGGGCTGGCCGTCCCAGATGTCACACTCCGAGCCCTGCTGCAGGCACATGAAGTGGTCACACGTGGCCTCCTTGGGCATGCCCACCGGGCCCTTCCTTCCTTTCACGTCCATGTAGCGGGCTGCCACACAGCTCCTGGTCCCACACACGTTGGGGCAGCACTTTTCGTAGGTCTCACACTCCTGCAGAGAGCCAAATCGAGAGGCCTGAGCAAAGGGAAGGAAGAGAAGGCCAGCTTCCCCCGCCCTACTGCACCGCGTGTGCGGCAGGGAACCAGTACGTGCTCATCCGTTGTGAGCAAAATGTTTTTGATAATAACAGCTGACATGTACGGGGCACCTACGATTTATTTGCCAGGCCCTCTCCTAAGAACGTTTACATGGGTCAACTTGTTTAATGCTCATCACAAGCCTCTGAGGTGGATACACCATTATCCTCACTTCCCAGAGGATAACTGAGGCACAGAGAGATTAGGTAACTTGTCCCAGGTCACATAGCTGGAGGTGTGGGAAGAGACTGGCCACATCCCTCCCAGAGGGGGATTGTTCTTACTACAATATTACAGCTGAGAATGCAGAGCCTCAGAGGGCTGATGCCAGGTGCCCGGGGCTGGGACGTGGTAGAAAAGGGCTTCGAGCTCCAGGCAGACGAAAGTCTGAAAGGAGGTTTTTTTCTTCTACGTCACATACGTCACCTTGTGCCCAGAGATGAGGTCCGTGTAGGAACAAATGCCTTTTTGTCTTTTTCCCGTTGGGGTGAGGGTGCCCTGGCCGAACTGAAGAGACCACAGCAAACGCTGAGAAGGAAAAGTGGGGCACCGCGGGGACAGACGTTTGAGGTTGTCCCCAAATACTCTGGACGCAGCCGCTCTGGTGAGGGTCCACATCCGGTCAAGGCTGAAAGGACGGGCCGGTGGGACAGGCCCACGGCACCAGGCCCAGCTCCAGGGGACATTTCACGGGGAAGTCAACAAGAGAAAAATCCCCTTGGGCGGCAAAGGTTCAGCAAGGCCGTCAGAGGACTTGCAAGGCTATAATTCCCTCGGCTTCTCCGGGGAGCCACGACAGGCATTAGTTTAATTCCTCGAAATGAGCAGCGTGCTTGGGGCCGGCACAAACAGGACTTTCACGTGGTGTTTTCGGTAACAACCCCAGTACCCACAGGGCTGGCAGGCACTGCTCCTAATCCCCCTGGCAGGGGCTCTGTGCATTGCTCCCCACTAGGGTTGGCCTCTTGCAGTTCCGACTTTCCTTTCAGCCCCTGACATTCCACATCAGCTCAGAGGGGGAGAGAGCCCCCACCCGGCCTGCCCTCCCCAACTTGTTTACTGTTTTCCCCTCTCGGCTCAGAATGGGGACTTTGTTTTGCAGCCCTCACTTGGCATCAGCTTCTAGGCCTCACGGGGGAGGCTCTAGACAGGGGTGGGCTGATCTCAGAGCTGGGGTCTGAGGGAGAAAGACCCAGTGGGGGACTGAGCGCAGCAGGGGATTGGGGCGCAGAGTCTGCTCCTCCGCCAGAGGGCCATTCAGTCCCTAGGAGGCTCTGGCCCTGGAAGCTCTCAGGATTCAGAGGCCATGAAAGTCTGGGTCTTCAGGGACCATTAGGAGGGTATTTTGGGCACCAGAAACCCTAGATCCTTAGAACAGTTTTCCTTGAGGGCGCAGAACACACCCACAGGCCGAGTCTGCAGCCCTGCACAGGTGTCTTCCTCCCAAGGCTCATGAGCTCAGCAGGCGTCTCACTCACGGCCCCCAGGCCCCACCTGATTGGTCAGGTGAAACAGGTTTCCCTGCAAACGCAGTTGACTAACGACTAACAGCGCAGCCTCGGTGAGCGAGATGGGACCGCTCTGCCACCCCTCCCTCCTCTCCATCTTCCTGCCCACCCCCACCTGCCCACCCCTGCTCCCCGGGCACTGTGAGGTGGAGGCCACCCTCTCTAGGGGGACCCCATGCTCTCCTGCATGTTCCGTGAGTTCAGCAGAGGGAGCACCAGGGTCTCTCTTGTTCCCTGGTGATGCCCGACCCAGCCCAGAGCCCCAGGAGCTGTCCAGGCTGGAAGGAAGTGCCTGTGCCTGGTGGGCACCAGGTACCAGCAGGCTCTTGATTGCTGGGGAAAGAGGCAGGAATGGCCCTTGGACCCAGGAGCCAGGAGAGAATCACCGTGGGACTGGCCCATCCTGTTTGCTGCTCTGATGAGCATGGAAGGGGCACCTAGAACTCCAGCAGGTCCAAACCCCATCTGCTCCCCTGCTGGAGCCTACAAAGACAGAGCCGTCCTGTCCACCCTCGCGTCAGCCTGGACTGCTCCCAGTGTCAGGGTCTAGACGCCCTGGGAGGTGGTCTGGAGGCTGGCGGAAGCCGCAGCTCTGTGCCAGACCGATGTGAGTTCCAAACCCGGCCCTGGCAGTGGAGCCTTGTGCTGCTCACTGCACGGCCCTGAGGGCCTCTTCTCACCTATCAGTGGGCTGGCCCAGAGCAGCCTGCAGCCCACAGGAGACCAGACATTCAGGGCTTCTCCATCCCTGAGGAACCTGAACGCCCCATCTCTTCTTCTGGGCCTCAGACTGAGACACACACCACACCCCGTTTACCTCCATGTGGCCTGGGGCCTGTCCCCACCCCACGGCTCCCACTCTCCCTCACGAACACACGCCTGCCGTCCAGCTCAGGCTTCCGGATCCCCACTCACCTGGTCTGTCTCACACTCCCGCTTGCAGGTGCTCTGGGCATCCACCCAGAGGTTGGGGTTCATGTCGTTGGGGCAGATGCCAGCATGGGAATAGCGGATGGGCGGCAGGGCCAGGCCTCTCGGGGGCACCTTGAGCAGCAGCAGCAGCACTGCCACCTGCCCCCAGCGGGACCGGAACTGGTGGCACCCCAGGGCCCACATGGTGCGGTCTGCAGCGGCCAGAGATCTCCCCCGTGACGCTGCCAGGGGCTGGGGCCCACCAGGGCTTTCTCCTCGGGGGCCGCAGACACCTGCCCTCACCGCCCCGCCGGCAGGCCTCCTTGCTGCTGGTAGGGCCGCGGCTGCCTGCACCAAGTCAGTGGAGCCCGCTGGGCTGTGCGGCTTCAGAGAAAAGAAAGGTTTTGCAAGGAGATCCCCTCTCCCGAGTGTGCGGGGAGAGGAGCCCCAGCAGGGGCCCGGCCTGGATTTATCCCCTGGGCACCACCCGAGTGGGAGCAAGCTAACCTGACGCCTGTCACAGGCAGGCTGCCGGCTCCTCTGTCCCGTGGCTGATCACAGACTTGTTGCAGAAGGGGAAAAAAAAAAGCTGGAAGCAGTTTAGGCGGCGTATCTGGCACGGTGGGACACCTGCTTGTTTTTGACTCCAGGAGGCCTTTAACCCCTTCAAGGGCCAGAAATGGCATGTGCTTTGGGGGAGCTGGCTCCAGGACACGCAGGCTCACTGTGAGGCAGCGGTTTGTTTCCCTTTCCCCCACCTCCTCCGCCGGCCCCCTCCTCCCCTCGGCCACCTCCGAAGAACACACAATCGCTTGTTACAAGGAGGGACCTGCTGCCGCAGGGTTAGCATCGCCAGGCCGGATGGTACATTTGAGAGCAAATGACGTGGAAAAACAACAAGTTCACGGCCATTGCAGGGCGGGCCTGAGCAGTGGCCCGTGTAAGCCGACTCCCACCCCGGCACCAGGTCCCTTGGTGGGGGGCGTGCGCACCAGCAGCTCCCTATCCCTCCGTCCTGGGCAGCTCGTGTGTCAAGTTCCAACTCCAGTGCATTTTCCCCAAATCATTCCAGACACACATGCCAGATACGCTCCGGCTCCCCGGCTGCCGGGACGAATCGCATTCCTCGCTCCTCCACGGACACGCTCGTGGCTCCAAGAAAACCTACGGGTGTCTTGGGAGGGCGCTGGGCAGCCGAGCTGCCGGTGCAAAGGCTCGATGGCTGTGTTCGGTGAGCTCCTTGGGGGCGCCAGACACTTTTCGGTTTTCTCGGCCCCCCCTACTTTACAAAGGAGAAGGCTCAGGGCTGGAGAGAGCGGGGGACTTGCCCAAGGTGACCCATGGTGAGCAGTGACAGCAACACTAATTGCTGGCATTTACTGGGCTCTCTGCACACGGCATCTCATTTAATCCTCACAACACACCGTTCCTTTATTTTCGAGTTGGAGAAAGGACGCACAGAGAAGCTAAACAGCTCACCAGGGTTGCACAGCTGAGTGACTCCACCATTAATTCGGGAAATGGGGACACCAGTTTGCGGGGTGGGGGGGAGGGACCTCTGGAAACCACCCCCCAACCCCCCCAACACCACCCCCACCATCGTCAGAACTGCCGTCAAGGTACATCCCCAACTCTACTTTGTATGGGCTGGACAAGCCTTTGTGAAGCACCGGGGGCTGTATTTGTGGAGGGGGCTGGGGAAAGAGCCAGAAGCTGCTGGGTGTGGAGGCGATGTTTCCCCTGAGTGGCAGGAAATAGCTCCAATCTAAAATGCCACTGTAAAGGGGACAGGCTGAGTGTTTTTGACTTGGTCACTTGATCTCCCGAGGATGAGAGATGTGGAGACAGATCCCCGGAAGAGAGAGGCACCTTTTCAAGGTCAAACCGTAAAGGATTTGGGGAGCAGTACCTGAGCTGCTATGTCCCAGAATGGGGGATGGAATGGGCATAGCATGGGTCAGAGCCAGGGGGACCCGGAAGGTCCCCAGCAGTGCGCTCATTTGCAGACGGGGACGCTGAGTCCTGAGCCCAGGCCCTTCCACTGCTCTGGGGCTGCTCTCCCCGGCAGGGCTACTGTGCATCCGATTTGGCGATGAAAAGGCAGCAGGACCGTCTCCCTGCCCTCAGACCCGGTTCCTCCCTCCCGGGTGGTGTGTTGCTTTCTCCACACCTGAGCCAACTCCTGCCCCTCGTGCGTGCGGGTCACTCTGCAAGATCTGTCTTTCCTGCTTATGTCAAAGAGCTAATGAAGGGTGTCAGCCCCTAATCCTCTAAATTACTGGAATGAACTGCCCTCTGAGGCCGGTCCCAGTGATGAAGCCAGACAGCGGGCGGCGCCGGCTGCTTTGAATTCCCTGTAATTTCATAAACCCACCTTCCAGCTGCTCCGAGTGGGGCCTCCCCACACGCCTGGTGAACGCACTTTGTGCAGCCCTCTTTGACATCACGAAGGGAAATGGACGGTGACACATTTCCAAGCAGGACTTAGGAAACTTGTCACAGCCCCATTACGCTGGGACGAGTCTCCTGGGAGAAGAGGCTGATTTCTGGGGAGTCACTTGAGAGCATAGTGGGGAGGACTGGGGAAGAGAAGGAGGGACACAGAGCAGAGGCCAGAGGGAGGGGCAGGCAGCAGGGCAGGGGCAGCGGTCCTCCTGGCCTGCCGCTCCAGGGTGATGGAGTAGCCCTTGCCCCGCTCAGCCCGGTCCAGAGCCACCGCCTCTCTGCCCCAGAGCACCGCTCCTGGCCATTCTGCTTTGAGAATGGCGCTTGAAACAGCGCTGGAGCAGAGGGAGCCCCAGAACTCCACAGCTCTCCCTCCCAGCCCTTCCAAGCCTCCCACCACAACACAGCTCGGAATAATAAACAACATCTGATCAGAGCTTGGAGCCCACACAGCGTTTTCACCAACATCATCGCCACTGACCCTCCTGCCAGCCCCGGCGGGGGGGGGGGGGGCCCCGAAGAGGTTGCTGTGAGCTCCGGTGTACCAGAAGAAACTGAGTCACAGAGGCATTAGCTGGGCCTGCCAGGAAGGACCCCAGGGGCTGGTGGCCTCCTCTCCCAGACCCCCATCCTGTGTTCCTCACACAGCCTGAGCAAGCTTCCAGCCCCTCCAGAAAGGCCCCTGCTGGCCCCCTGCCAGCCCGGCCTGTTTATAAGCTCTTTTGGAGGCTCTTTGAAGTCTCTTCTTCCTGGGCCCCTCCCTCTCGCAGTCCCCTGGACTGGGCTCTGTCTGATTCTGTCTCCCTCAAACTCTTCTCTGGTGGGCGGTGTGGACTCCACCCTCACCAACCCTCTGGGACCAAGTGCGGGCCTGGGCGCCCACTCTCACCGTCCACCAGCCGGTCTCTGGGGAGTGGAGCCTGAGCTGGGTGGGCCTGACCGTGGGGGTGTCCCTCCCTTGCGTTCTCCTCAAGGACAGCGGTCACAGCTCAGCCAGAAAGGGGGCTGGGCTCCCACTTCACCTCAGAAGAGCCTCCAGCCCACACCACTGTTGAAAAGCAGAGGGACCACTGACCCTTCACACCCTCCAGGGTAGTTTCAAGGCCCAATCCAAGTGCAGCAGGCAGAAAGTCACCCTGACCGTGAACTCTGGGTGACCCTTGACCTTAGATTCACTCTTAATCTAACAACGCCTGAGCCACTAGGGCCTGGAAAGGACAATGAAGCTGACACCACTCCCCAAACCGTCCAGGCCTCTCTGCTCTGGAGACCTCGGCCACACACAGGGTGGGGACGCGGAGGGACCCACGGAAACGCCACACCCGCGTCTCACGTGTCACGTCACTGGTGCACAGTCCAAAGGTCTTACCTCTGGAAGCATCTCCTCCCTCTTTTCCTACTCGATGTTTTTGAAAGCACCTACTATGTGCTAAGTTCTGGGTACATGCAGTCCTTGTTCACAGAGAGGGCATGGTCTTGGCCCCAGAACCAACGTATAAGAGCGTGACAGCCAAATACACACCGTCTGGACTCTTACACGCACTGGGAGCACAAGGAGGGAGAGAGGCCTGGGCTCCTGTTTCACAGCCGTGACTCGGGGGGTCTTGGCTCTAGGAGGGGGTATAGAACACAGAGCAGAGAGAGTGGTTTCCTACACTTCTCCTTGGAAAGGCCTGGCCCCCAACACAGCCAAGGCCCTCCCTCCTTGGGGCCCGGGCCACGGGGAAGGAGAGGTGAGAGGGAAGTCAGCAGGTTTAGGAGACGGGGCGGGGTGGGAGCTGCAGCCCGTTCTAGTTCACCCTGCTGGGGCCGCCAGACTGGAGGTTGCCATGCTTTCTCCTAAATGGGTGGGAGAGGCCGATACCCTGGGAGTCTCCCTGCCCCAATCCTGTCCTTTAAACGTATTTGGAGAGGAGGAAGGGTTTAAGAAGCAGGGATTGAGGGTCTGGGGAGGAGTCCTTAGTGAGGGTGCCCAGATGGGTCTCAGAAGGCCTGGGCTGCCTCGGCTAAGGGCAGTGATTAGTCAGACCCAAGCCAGGGAATTCAATAAAGTTGGCTGCTCATTACCCAGCTGGGGACCCCCTGCCAGAGCAGCGGCAGGCCTGGGTTACATTACAGGGCTGTGTGAACTCTCCCCTCTGAGTGAGACGGCACCAGGCCTTGGAATAATTATGGGGCCTCAGCAGATGGTGGAGGGGGACGGACGGGGGAGGCCTTCAGCTGTGGGACACGTGACCCAGCAGCATCTGTGCAGAGCAGGACACGGGAGGGTCCACGCTGAGCCCCGGGGGAGGCAGCACTGAGTCAGGATCTGAGAGTCCCGGGGTTGGCCGTGGTGGGGAGTGGTCCGGGGCCTTGGGCCTCAGGGCCTGGCCGCTGAAGCTGGACTGCAGCGTCTGAACCTTCCTGTGTTAGGAAGCGAGTGCTGGAGACATGCCTGCTGGTTCAGCACAGTTCTGGACACCTCCCATCCTCAGAAGCCTTCCTGGCAAGGTGGGTATCTAGCTGCTCGGTGGATTTCAGCCCCATGGCAGCCCCCCACCCACTTGGGAAGCTCCATGGTGCTTGAGTTGGGCACCATACCAGAAGTCAGGACTCCCGGGTTTGGATTCTCCTCGTGGTCTGCCGTCAACCCGCAGTGTGACCACCACAGCATCCCCCTCTGAGGCCCCTTTCAGCCCCCTCTGCTGCAACTCCATGTCCTGATTCTTCCAGCTTTGCCCTGATGGCGTCTGCTTCCAGCAGCCCCAAGCCGCTCTGGGCCAAGGCAAACACGGGAGAGAGGAAGTTAGAAGGCTGCAGGGATGCGGCCGGTGTCAGCTCCTCGGCTCTCCTCTGCTGGGGGCGGGCACACCAGGGCCCTGGTTCCCCTTTTCCCAGGCCTGGGAGTTCAGCAGGACCACCACCAATAGTGGCCGGCCTCCCTCCCATGCAGGCCTCCCGTACGCTGGACGCCTCCCCTGGGTACTCAGCTCTCCACACCGGAGCTCCCGCCCTGTCTGCCTGATGGCTCGCGCCCCTGAGATGAGAGAGACATGAGAAGGTCTCGGATTCCTGGGTCTCCCTGCTCCCTCACGAGCTGCTGAGCAACGGGCACATGTTCTCTAAAAACAAATGCATCCCAAACACCCATGTCTACAGTACAGAATGTACAACAGTGTCAGGGGAGGGGGGATGACAAATAGGCCTGTTCTTGACCGACATTTATTTCTGGTCTGCTGGCTTAAAGACGGCTCCCCCACACACTGGAGATGAAGGCCGAAGCATTTGACCTGGACCAGCACAAACTTCTGCCTCAGTTTACTTCTCCAGTCTTATCTGTTGCTCCTCCCTCTCTCACGCTCTGGGACCTGCTATGTTGCCCTTTCGATCTGCGATCGCTGCACACACTCTTTCCCCTTCAGCCCCCGCCCCACAGACGTTGTCGTCTGCCACGGACACTCCCTGCGGCAGGCCAGGCCTGTCTTCTCCTGGACAACTACTTCCCAGCCCATCTTAGAAGCTGTGTCTGCTAGGAGGCCGCCCTGACCTCAGAGGCTGAGGACGTCCCAGGCCACTTCTCACTGGGGAAGTCTTGGTATAGTCTTTAAAGTGATGCCCCAGATGGTGCGGCTCAGTTGCTTGGCTGTTGTCCCACACACCGAAAGGTCGCCAGTGCTGTTCATGGTCGGGGCACGTGGCTGGGTTGAGGGTTCAGCCCCAGGCTGGGCCAACCAATCGCTCTTTCTCTCCCTTCCTTCCCCTCTCTCTAAAATCAAATCTAAATAAACGAATAAAATGAAAAAGCAAAACAGAACAAAAAGCTGACACTGGGTTACCGACCTGTGGCAAGGTTTAAACACTCAGCGCCATGCTGTCGGGACCTATCTGTGCTGATGGGTACAAACCAGGTGGAGGGTGATGTAGAAAATCCACGTTCGAGGCCCTCAGTGGGCCCAGGGCAGCCCGACAGCCCTGGTGGGACTGCTTGTGGCACATCAGGCATAGTTTACGTGGTGTTGAAGTGACTTTCTCCTTGTCTATCGCCCAGAGTGGCCTGTGAGCTCCTGGCGGCAGGGGCTGTATCTGGTCCCCGGTTCCAGCAGAGGACACACACCCTGCCAGCGTATGTGCGATGAATGGATGATCCTGTCAAGGAGACCGTGCCTCGAAGGGCTGGGGTGAGTACTCCTGGTGCTGGCCATAGGTGAGAGACTAGTTAGTCCCAGGACAGGGCACCAGAACTCAGCATTAGGCAGGCAACGGCGATATGCCCATCCCTGGGCCTGACAGCCACTCTGGGCAAGAAGGAGCCTGGAGTCTGCAAGGCCCGGACTATGGCAGTTGGAGAAGGCTAGGGCGCCCCGTGGACAGGTGGGAGCAAGGTGCCCGGTGGGATCCGCCACATCCACCACGCTGCTCTCCAGGTACGCCTCCCTCAGCTTCTCACCGGCCCTCCTGGGGTGTCTTAGCCACTGAAGGTGCCCTCCTCAGCTCTGCTCCTCTCTGCTTCCAGAGGAATTTTTCCAGATTCCAAACAGGTTGCTTCCCTGCTGCAGTGAGTTGAGTGGAGGACCCCAAAGGATATGTCTATGTCCTAACCCCCAGAACCTGTGAATGTGACCTTATTTGGGAAAAGGGTCTTTGCAGATGGAAGGATCTTGAAAAGAGATCACCCTAGATTATCCAAGAGGACCCTAATTGCAGTGACGAGTGTCTTTATGAGAAAGGCAGAGGTATATCTGAGACACAGAAGAGGAGGCTGTGTGGAGATAGAAGCAGAGAATGGAGTGATAGGGCCACGAGCCTGGGAGTGGCTGAGCCACCGGGAGCTGGAAGAGGCAACAAAGGGATTTTCCCCTTGAGCCTTTGGAGAGAGCGCAGCCCAGCTGACTCCTTCATCTCAGGCTTCTGGCTTCCAGAAGTGAGAGGGAACACATTTCTATTGTTTTAAGACACCAAGTCTACAATAATTTGTTCCAGCAGCCCCAGGAAACTAATACACTTACCTGAAACTCTTCAGTGGCCCTTCCTGGTCAGGGTCAAATGGCCCACAGAGCCCTCTGAGATCTGCCACGGCCACCTCTCCAGCCTCCTTGCTCACCCTGCATGCGCTACCAGTACAGAATCTCTGATGTTCTCCAAACACACCAATAAGGTGGCCAGCTGTCCAGGTTTGCCTGGGACACCCTGGGTTCAACACTGAAGCTCCTGCATCCCAGGAAACTCCTTAGTCCTGGGCAAACCAGAACAGTGGGTCACCCCATACTTTTGTTCAGGCCATTCTCTCTGCCCACAGTGTCCAAGAAACTCCACTGCAGAATGAGACCAGAAAAAGTGCTGGAAGGGCACTCCAGATGCCAGAGGTGAGCCATCTACACCTCAGGAAACCCAAGCCTCTTTGCCAGGGACCCAGAGTTGGCCAGCAACAGAACCTCAGGCACCAGATGCAGTGAAGGGCGACAAAGGCCCAGGGTGAGTTGGCAGATGAAGTGTGGCTCTAAGCTGCAAGGTAAGTGCTGCAGTTGGCATTGGTGCAAGTAAACTGAGACAATGGTCCAGAGGAGATGGCTATAGATGGGAGTCTACCATGGTCGCTAGATAAGGGAATGGCATGGGCACAGGTGTGTTGGCAGGAAGAGTCCAATGAGCCTGAGGGTTAAAAATAAGCAGTCAAAAATAACTCAATTAGGAGTGTATTCAGCAGCATGTAACAGAAACCCGGAGAAGCTGTGGCTTAAATAATTAGTTTACTTTTTTCTCACAGAACAAAAACAATTGGTTAATTTCTTAGGGCCCTGTCTCCTCTTTTTTCTCTTTTGTCACCTTTAGCATGTGGCTTTTTCCCTTAATACTGTTGGTGGCTGCCCCCCTAGATACTTCTTCCTTCCCGATCCAGGTCCGGGGGAAGTGCCAACGCCCCCAGAACCATGTCTGTTTATTCAGGGAGGGAAGACCTTCTGAGAGCCTCCCAACCATAATGCACTGGCCAAGACTGTGTCACATGACTCTAGCTGCAAGGGAGTCTGAAAAGGTGATGGTTCTAACTTTGCAACAAGGAAGAAAAGAGCTGTGATTGGCTTTTGGGCAGGCAATTCACAGCATCTGCCAGAGCAACTTTCCTCTAGGACCTATTGGCTAGGATGGTACCTCATTTTTGCAGCCCCTAGTCTTCTCTGCACTGTGAACTGGTTTCTGCTTCTAGAATCAGACTCAATTCATGTGTAGGACAATATAATACTAGGTAAAGATGGATGAGAAGTCTCAGAGATCTCTGTGGTTTTGTGAGATATCAGTAAGCTACAATAAAGCTGGACTGAGCCAGCCCCACAGCCCCTGGAAGAAGTTGGTAGGGTGCTCTGCACAATAGAGGATGTGATCAGCTTCATGAAACAGAGCTTGATGATGACTGCAATCCCAGGTGAGAAGCAGCACAAAAGAAGTACCTGGGAAGGGATCTTGAATTCTCCTAAATTGACAGTGAACATCTCACAAACTGAGCCCTTCACTGAGGAAGTGTGGGAGGCAGTTAGACAGACATGAACAGAGCAAGGATAATAGACCAGGTACAGAAGGTCACCAGGGCAGAAAGCCCCAGGTGTCTAGCAACAGGCAGAACTGGAAAACAAGGACCTTGCTTCCAAGGATAACCCTTTCTCCCCTAGCACATTGCTGGTCATGCATGCAGTTTAGACACCTTGACCTTTCCTCTCCTGGCATGTTGCCAGTCATGTGGGTTGGACTCCTTTAGACCGGGAACAAATGGGGGGCTGGAGAATACCCCTTAAGCATTAATCCCCCAGGACAATGAGGTTCTGACCAACCTCAAATATATCTATTTGAGGCCTCAGTTGTGTTTCAGCTCCAGACCCAAAAAAAGCAACAAAACCAGACAATCGACCCCACGGCTGACATCAGGACCAGCTGCATTGACTAATGAGCCCTGGTGCCGACCAATCAGTGGAGACCATGACCCTCAAACGACACACCTGGAAAGCTGATGCATATTCTACTGGGATCCTCCCCTGGGCCTCCAAATAAGAACCGTCCAGACAGAGGACCCAGTGGGGCCCTCCCTGGTGGGAGGGAGCCTGAGCCTTTCCCCGCCTCCTTTTCTTTCCTCCGGTGCTTTCCCTTTTTCTCTCCTAAGCTCCAAGGCCCTTCCTTTTTCCTCTGTAACTTGTTTCCTGACCTCATTTCTTCTACAGTCCATTTCTTCTACCTCTGCGACTTTCTAAATAAATTTTCTCGTATAGTTTGAGTCTTCGCTCTGAATTCTTTCTTAGCCAGAACTCAACTACCAAGGTCGCTGTCCAGGGTCGGGTCTGACTCCACCAGTCCAACACCTGGTGCTGTTTTCACTGCCAACAGAAAGAAGGGAGGCTAGAGTCAAGTGAGGCCAGAGCTTTGGGGATGAATTCAAGTCTACAGCCCCAACTCTGGGCCAAGGCTGAGCCCCAGATACCGAGGCAAGTGATGGAAAGAATGTTTCGGTGGGAAGGTATATCACTGTACAATTCACAGCATACCAAACACTGAGACAAATTTAGGGGATGCTGGGTCGGCCCCAGGGAAAGAGAGCTGTCATTCAATCATTATTCACTCAACAAAAGTTTATTTCATACCTGTTATGTGCCAAACATCGTACCCGGCACTGGTGATACAAATCACCAGCTATGGCAATGATTTGCAACACGTGTGCCATAAGAGTTTTTAAAAGATGCAATACATGACTATTTAGTCAGGGCCACTGACCTCTTTTCCCTTAGATTGTCAAATAAAAAATTGACAACCGCCAGGACAGGACAATAGGCACTGGTGTGAATGCATCAAAGTTATACCTATTTTTGTCAGATTGGCAAAATCTGTATTTTTGGTGTCCTGCAGGATTTTAGTAATTAGTTTATGGGTGCCATGGGCTGAAAAAGGTGGAAAATTTCTGAGCTATAGTCTTTGCCCTCAGAAGGTCTACAGTCTAGGTGGATAGCAAGGTACAGAACAGATCATTGTGTACACAAGTATTCAGTTAAACCTGATGCATTTCAGGAAGAAATCCAAAAAGCCAGGGCATATGTGGAGGGAAGAGTGAGCCAAGCAGGGGAAACAGTGTCTAACTGAGATGAGGAGAGTCTTAGCCAGGGCAAAGGCGAGGCTGACGTGGCTGGAGCCCTGAAAGAGGGAAAAGTAGCCAGTGGCTGAGGTGGCTAAGGGACGCAGTGGCCAGACCCTGAGGGGCTCATATGCTGTGCTGAGTTCTGCCTTAATTTTAAGGCTGGACTTTGCTAGTGAGCCTCTGAACGTTGGTAAGCATCAGGCACAGAAAGCAGCAAGGGGTAGGAGGTCAGGAAGCCTCTTTTGAGGCCACTGTGCCCGGAGTGGAGCACGCTCAGGTGGCCATGGGTTCCTGTCCCACGTGAGAGAGGGAGGCAGGCCCCTCTGCTCGTGGGCTGAGGCTGGAGAGGGCAACGGAGAGCAGAGGACACGCAGACCTGGCCTGTGTCCTGAGGTGACTGCAAGGCTGGCAGAGAAATGGCTGGAAGCTTTGACTGGCAGGCTAGAGACTGCCCTCCACTCATTTCCCTTAATGAAAATCACGCTATATACTAAGGGGAGGAGCAGGGAAGGAGGTGAAGCAAGAGGGTGAGAAGGGATAGACGGCTGCCCCAGAAAGTGAAAAAGAAATTTTCCATGTAGGGCAGCCCTTGCTTAGGAGAATCAAATCTGACTGTTGGGTGTCATCACAACGTCCTCCCAGCAGCTGAGACGGAGAAAGGACCACAGGTTTTGAGTGACTCAGAGGCCAGGCCCTCGTCCGACCGCAGTGAAGACTTTTCCGCCCAGTGAGTGAACCAGGGGGCTTATCAACCCTGTCCAGCCCTGTGGACTCATTCTACCTAATCCAGAAGGCCAGGGGTCAGTGCTTAATTAGCACAACCACCACGACCTCCCCCCTTGAGGTCCTCCCAAACAACTCAGTTAATTGCTTCCCTGGAGGGTGTTCTCTTTGTTGTTTACTGTTGAACAGAAACCGATGGTCAAGATGATCTCAAAGGAAAGACACCCAGCAGAGCTTTGGTGGCCAGGGCAACTGAGAACCGGACTCCGCAGCTGGAAGCCTGGCTCCGCCCCACAGGGCAACACAGCTGCTGGTGTTTGACAAAGTTTTAGGAGGCAGGTGCCGAAGGAGGGTCTGAGCTGAGCTAAGCCCACCTTTAACTGGTGATTCTTGGAGAAAGAAGCTCCTCTATGGTAGGAGCTCTCAAAGGTTTTGACAATAACTCATCGTCAGAAATCTATTTTTCATGGCGATTCTGTACACATATTCAAATGCACGCCTGAAACAAAAGTTTTACAAGATAATAGTTCCTCTTTCTCCGCGCGGTGCCGTCTTCAGAGTTCCAAAAGTTGCAGATCACTTGGGAAGGTTGGGGACAACAAAGGGCCAGGGATTTGGGGACCTCTGCTGTCTCCATCACAAGACTAAGGAGGCAGGACACAAGGGTAATATACAAAAGTCGATTGCTTTTCTTTATCCCGTCAATGAACAACTGGAACTTGAAGTTAAACAGACACTAGCTGCTTGGAGAGGAGCCGATGGGGGGATACGCGGAGGAGCAGCGTGGTGCGGTGCGGGAAGTGCGCGTGCCTGTTCTTGGGCCTTCCAGAGCAGCCACCCGCTGAGTGTGGCGGAGTGAGTATCCCGGACAACGCCACACCGAGCAGAAGAAGGCGCTGGCTGAGCCCTGCCCAAACTCCTGAGCCACAGAATCGCGAGCAACTAAAATGTTTGATGTCACTCACTTTTGGAGAATTTGTTACAAAGCAATGTGTAGGTGGAAGAGGCATGTAGAGACGGTATGGAGGTCTGTTTTAGCCACTCAGCTAATCATAATCAGAAGTCGGAAACAAGGATGCTGCTGAGTCGCCTTCAGAGTGTGAGACGGAACCGTCTGTGCCTGCCGCAAGGTCATTAAAGGGGCCCAGAGGACGAGCTCAGATGAAAGCACCACCAACCGATCTAACATCCCAAACCCGAGGGCGATTGATGACGCACGAACTTACTCAGCAAGCATTTTTCAGGAGCTATTGTGTGTCCTGTTCTATACTTAGAACTGGGGAGTTGGTGGAAAATAAGTCAGTTGTGACCTCCATTGTCATGGACTTGAAATTTAGTGCAGGTTACAGATACTAGCTAAATACACACATGAATATAAATGACAGGATTTGGAGGGTGCCTAAAGGAGATAGAGAGGGGCTTGACACCAGGCAACAGTGCCAGGCCGCCCTCCTCGCCCCGCCCATTTCCTTCACCTGCGAAGGACAGGAAGTCAGCGGGAGGAGACGCTGCACACCTGGGCGGCTCGGGTCCAGGGAAGCGTGTTGAGGGTTAGAGCCCTGCTTTCAGCATCGAGCAGGGGTCAGGGAAGGACTTCTAGAGGAAGAGATGTCCACCCAAAGCCCCGAAGGGTGGGTTACAAGTAGCCAGGCAAAGAGGCAACAGCACAAGCAAAAGCTGTGAGGTGGGCGGTGTCCCAGAACACTTGAGGGACCAAAGACAGCCAGGGGGACTGAAGAGGAGCAGGTCCACACAAATCCACGTGGGACTCAACTCAGAAAGAGCCCCTGACCCAGGGGGGAGGCCCTCGTTTAACCTTCTGTTTAAAAACATGTTTCCTGCCCTGGCTGGTATAGCTCAGTGGATTGAGCGCAGGCCTGCAAACCACACTATCGAGGTTCGATTCCTAGTCAGGGCACATGCCTGGGTTGCAGGCCAGTTCCCAGCAGGGGACCCACGAGAGGCAACCATACATTGATATTCTTTCCCTCTCTCCTTTCCTTCCCCTCTAAAAATAAATAAAATCTTTTTAAAAAATTTAAAAACATGTTTCCTTTGCACTGTGGGTTGTTTTTTAGCAAGTGTTAGGGTAGAGACTTGAGAAAACAAACCAACCAAACAAACCCAATACACGGCTAAGTGAAGAGAAGACACGGAGGGAGCTCTCTTGGCGAGGCAGTGTTCCGGCTCACATCCAATAGAAAGCATGAGACCCGACCACTGTGTCAGTACTTGGGCCTCTCGGGTAAGTGGTGGGAAGCTAACGCCCCTTCACAGCGAGACGGTTGGAGACACTGCCGGACAAGGAATAGGGCTAGAAAATGGGCCATTGGTCAGGAGCCACCAAGAGGACTTCCTGCCAGTGAGGGGCTGGGGGGAAGGTGCCCCTTTAACACCGAGCTCAACTAGTGGGGTGGAGGGCCGGCAGGGGCTTCCCCAAGAAGATTTGAGAGGCACTTCCTCCCAGCTTGGTCTCAGCAGCAAGGAAGTGGGAGTGAGGCTGGAAGGTGAAAGGTGGAGCAGGAGACGCCTGTTCAGGGGAGTCGCCCCTCCACACCTTCAGGTTTCGACCCACAGGCAGTGATCTTGTATCTGCCCACCTGCCTCAGGTATGCAAGGGTCGGAGAGGCAAAGACCCCACCCCTGAGGTTAGAGGGCATTACAGTGTTGGGGTGAGGGGGTTCCGTGCCTAATCCCCCTCCTGTCGGGGTTCCACAGGGAGGGAGAGCACACACAGCAGACGCGGGCCCACAGCACAGCACGGCGTTCATCGATCGCGGTGTCTGAGTGCCTGCCCACTGCAGAGACTTCCAGGAAGACAGACTTGGATGGGGAAGCGAGCTCCGGCCACAAGCTCCGGGCAGGCTTTACCTCCCAGCTCCCTCTGCAGGGCCGGAGCCATGGGGTCAGCGCTGGGTGACTAGCCCAACACCCGATGGAGACGATGACCAGGAAGAGAGGACAGCCAGGCCCCACCAGCTCACCATGACTGGGTCTGTGGTGAGACCTGGTTGCCTTGAGAAGAGAAGAGAAGAGAAGAGAAGAGAAGAGAAGAGAAGAGAAGAGAAGAGAAGAGAAGAGAAGAGAAGAGAAGAGAAGAGAAGAGAAGAGAAGAGAAGAGAAGAGAAGAGAAGAGAAGAGAAGGAAGGAAGAAAGAAAGAAAGAAAGAAAGAAAGAAAGAAAGAAAGAAAGAAAGAAAGAAAGAAAGAAAAGGGGCCAGG